CGCCCCATAATCACAGCTCTATGGAGCAGCATCAGACTCATTCTGACTAGAATTGAGTCGGACTACGTCAGGCTAGGAAGTTACATGGAGTAATGTCTCATTTAATCAATTGGTATATTTTCTGTTTTGGTTTATTTTGGGGGGCAGTTTATATATCTCCATCCACCTTCTCTAGCTTATTATGTCAGGGTCGCTGTGGGGCTGGTGCTTATCTCTGGAAGTTTTAGTCTTCCATAGTGTTCAGCACTCCTTTCGAAAGATATACCTAAAACATCCCTTTCCTGTTTGGTAAATCATAAGATCAGATAACAGCATAATTGTTTATGTAATGTAGGGAAGTACTATTAAGCACTACAGCTATTTTATCTTCTTGGATTTTGCATATGTTTTATGTACCACTCTGTACAAACATTTGCCTGACAATAATGACGATAATAATGACAATAAATCTTTCCACTGAGGGATAAATAAAGAAGCATTCTTTAAAAAAGAATTCAGTTGCAATCTTGTTTATTCTCTATCGTATTATTTGTTCTTTCTGGTCATAATTACTGGTAATGTTATTATTGTTTTTTTAGTGATTTACTATAGCCGCTCTGTAGGCAGCTGTAGTTCCACTCTAATTGTCAGCTTCAATCTGGTTCCATTATAAAGTGTTTTCTCTATCAGCAATATTCACCTGCCCTTCATTAGATTTAAATAAACCAAACAGCTCCCACCAGGTGCTAGTGTTGTTGAGACATGTCAGGTTCATTTCCTGTTTTGACTGCTGACCTTCATTCTTTTGTGCTACCAAGTTATCTTTTCTGTGATATATCTAAGTTACTGTAACTGTCCAACAGCACCTTAAAAGACAGCTCCTATTGCTGCACATTTTGACGAAGCACTACTCACCTTCACACGGTGTTTATTTCTGGTAGTAAGGGGTAGCTAGCCTAGGATAGCACTGGCTTGGCACTTCTGTGGTATCTGTCTCTCCCTGACTGTTTTCCAACTGTCTCTACACTTCCTCTCCTCTCCTCTGCTTTCTGTGCCAGATGTTCAGTTATTCCTCTGCTTGCTCCTTTAGTGATGTGTTATGGGATGTGTAATAACTGTAGTATTCTTGTAGCTTTGGAGGCGAGAGTGTCAGAGTTAGTCCCGTCTTTGGGCTTTTGAACATCCAGGAGTACGACCAGTTCAGTTTACTGCCCGGAGTCACCAAGGCCAAGGACACGTCCACATAGTGGTCCTACAATCA